AGGGGATTCTTTTATGCGATTTCATGACTTTAATAGCTAGACTGATCGGACGAAACTTCTTATCAGATACTAAGGTTTAATTTCAAAGATTACCCCAATAATGGTATCTATCCAGTTTCTTGGTGAATCTAAATGACTTGGTGAAATGTTGTACACTAGGGAGATTGTCTGCGTAGCTTCATTCTTCCTAGACCTTAAAATGGGTGGGACATGGATCTTTAGCGTATGATTACGACACACACAGTATTCCTTCTAAATTACTGACTGCAAGCTGGAAAGAGTGATTCTGTTCACTCACAGTGCTTCAGAATACGACATTATACTATTCCTACATTACAAGGACGCAACAGACAGGTTTTCTCTTACAGGAAACATGCGAATGACCAGAAATTAATTGATTCTTTTATATGACGAACAGTACTAAAAAATCAATGTAGAGAGGTGTTTCCTGGCTGTTTACCAGCGTACCAATAATATTACAGTGACACAGCCTTTGACCTGTATTAAGGGGCAAAGTTAAACACCAGCTTCCCAAGGGAGGTAAACTCACAAGTGACTTTGAGTCGACCAACCATAAAAATAAATGATTTTTGCACAAAAATGATCTTTATTTAAAATAAAATGAATGAAATCAAATTAAACAGGGCATCTTTCTCTGACATGACCTAAAAATACTTCCCATTTATAGTGAGGAGTGTCAGTTTTTAAGTAAGACCAGTTTCTGTATATGTATTCGCCAAGGTGACTTAAGGTGAGCTTTTTTTCTAACCAGTTTATCGCTCTTATTCTGTTATGCAGTCTTCTCTAAAAACCCTCGGTTGAATTGCTATGGTTTCCAGTAGGAGGATCGACAACTACTTACTGGGAAAATGTCAATGACAAAACAAATCAAAATTCTAAATCTATCCCTAATCGTAACACTAAACTTAACAGTAACCATCACGAGCTATTTACACATTGTCGAAACAGTACCTAAAAACGTGATCTGGGTGAAATTTGTTTTTTATTTCGTGAATAGCGTTCATATTTGCGGTGTAGTAATGACAAATGTCCTGAGCCAACGACTGGCATGCGTTCAAGGTGACTGGAGCCTTCTCACTCCTGGGACGCCTATTAAGGATAAATATTTAGTCTCCTTCTCCTCCCGATATCAGACCTAAATATCCACTTCACAGGTTTAATGTTCATAAGTTTAAAGACGGCAAATTTAAACTTTAAGCACCACTAACTACTAATCAGAAAATGGCCTCGAAAGCACCAATCACGTGAAGGAGGCATTTTTGTGCATGGAACATATATATATATATATATATATGAAAGAAGTGCATAAAAACTGTATACAAGTGTTACAGAGGATAGCTACCTCTCACATGGGATAAAAATAGTTCTCAGTTTTAGGTTGGTGTATCAACAGAGTATAATTCCATTGTGGGTAAAATTTATTTTGATAAAGTTTTATAGTGTTATACAGCAATTTTACTGAGCAATAGATTGTGCTCAAAACATGGTCATCAGTAAATATGACTGTATAACACTGTGAGACTTTATCAAAATAAATTTTACCCACAATGAAAATAAACTATACCACAGTGCACAGGGTCTATTCTTATGTCAACAGAGTAATTTAACCACATTCTACGCCTTTAATTACTTAGGTCTTCTAACCCTCACAATAACCTTAATCTTTCCTGATCCTAACCCTAACGTAAAAATATCCCTAAACTAACCGTAATCTAACTCGAACCAAACCTACTGTCACCTTTGTTAGACTAACCTGACCCTAACTTGTCCTTGGCGTAAGGAGTAACTTAATCTTTCTCAAACCTAAGCTGAAACTTGCCTGATATCCTATTTAATAACTTAATACTTCGATGATCATATTTTATTGACTACATTAATATTTGCCAGATTCCACTAACTTGCTCAGTGAGCTTTTCAGGGTCATTGGTACCGTCGCACTCCATCGGTAGTTAGTGGTGCCCTAAGTTTAACTTGGCCTTAAAGGCTATTTAAATTCACCGACAGGCTTTTTTTTTTAAATCGTTTAGTTTCCTTCTCGCTTTGTCTACAAATCTAAAACACTGAAAAATCTAGTATAAACAATGGAATTCATTGCAGTCTGGCCCATTTCAGTTGGAAATCATGCCTGATTTGAAGTTAATGAGGTAACGAAGGACTCGTCAGTTGATTAATTATGAGCAGCCTAGATGACGTCTATCCTTGACCTTCAGGATCAACCAAACCGTGGGTAAAGATATTTATTCATTTGTAAAATTGCGTGATCACGCCGAAGTATAATTTTATTATCAGTGTTCCCTTGGGTTCCAAGTGGAATTTAAAGCTTCAACAAAATCTCTCCACTTTTTTCTATTTTCTGCTATCCTCTTTAGCTGGGCCCACGATTGCTCATAGTCTGTGATCTCCTCCTTATCACGCTCGAACCCCCACCAAACTCGTTGTTTCTCTTTCGTGTTCCACTCCAGCCATGGCCTGCAATGAGTGTGATTTCATTCGACGACCTCTTCAACGTATGCCCATTTTATCCATCTCCAATTGGCAATTGGCTCTTGGCCGGTTTGTTTCTGGCGAGAGTTTCTTGTTGCTAATTCTTTCTCGGTGGCTGGCCGGCCAGCTGGCCATTTAATCTTCAATATGGAGCCAGCTAGAGAAGGTGGTGACTGTTGACAAAAGTCTGTGACTAGTTGGAAATGATTTTACTGACGAACGCACATTGTAAGTTTTTGACCCATTTGGAAGAAGTAACCGACTGACTTGACATTTATGTTGAACAGAATCCAAACTAATCTTATTAATTATGCTGGCTAGCTAGCTGAGTGAGTACGGAAGATTTCCAAATTGGTTTCAGGTTGATGAAGGCGTACCTTGCCTTTCTGATTCTGACTTTGATATCCTCATCCGTCCCGTCTGACTGTGGTTGAAACGATACTTCCTACATAAGCAAAATAGGTAACCTCTGCTAAATCTATCTCTATGATAGTGATTGGTGCTGGTTGTTGTTGCTGTTGGTTGGTTATCTTCATCACCTCTGTCCGTATTCTTTGTGTTCACCTGCAGTCATATCGTCGCTGCCAGTTTCTTCAGACAGTTTGTTAGTTTTCGCCTGCAAGTATTAGAGTTTGTCTGACATTAAAAATATATCCTCTGCAAAATCCAGATCTTCTGGAGTCTTATCAGCATAATTTATTCCACCACATATAAAAATATCATCGGTGATAACACGTAGCCAGCTTGTCTTACACCTGCCTTCACTTCAAACGCCTCGCTGAACTTTCCGTTGTGGACTACCTGACACGTGGCATTTTCATACACTGCACTGCGTATTGTTTAAGTAGCTTCCAAATTATTTCTCGATCAACACTGTCAAAGGCCTTTTCGAAGTCAATTAAATTGAGATAGGTAGAGGTTTGACTGCCATTCTATGCTTTGTTCCATGATGATGATGTGTAGAGCTGCAATTTGATCAGTACATGATTCGGCATTCCTGAATCCCGCATCCAGTTCACCTTTTATTCTCTCCAGGTTGATACGACTTAGTATTTTACTTGACGTGGAAAAGAGTATAATTCATCTCCAGTTTTTCCCACAGGTTTAAGTCGCCCTTTTTTGTTAGTTTCATCCAAGTGGCTATATACAATATCATTTCGGGAACCATTTACCTTTCGAATACGTTTTTTTCAGATGGGCCCAGAATCGTTCAGTAGAATTTGTATGCGTTCCACTTATAGGATCCACTGATTCAGAAGAATGGTTGACTTTATGATGAATATGGCCTAGTGATGATAATTAAGAATAACCACTCCACTCATCCCCTGTGTGAATGATAGTATCTGGGAGAACTATTCGTTGCATAATTGGTATTAGAACATCTGCACTTCTGTTGGGGATGCGTTCTGCAAATCCTTTTAGAAGATTTGTGTCGTAAAGTCCCGGCGTCCAAACATGATTTGCTCTACTCCTGCCACGATTCACTTTTCGCCTAATAAGTACCGTTTTGTCAAAATGCAGGACGACGCCAAGTCCTCCAAGTACAGAGGTAATCCCATTTAGCTTTTGTGGTGTAACACCACGACAGTACTGATACCACCACTGCATCTGTAGCAGATACTACTGGTCGCTTCAGTAGCCAGTTGTGGCATACACGCAATATTTTATTAAGGAAGAGTTTCGATTTCGAGGAGGAAGTGTACGACTTACCAACTCTTACACACTTCCTCACACAAAGCGGAGTTGCGTCTGAATGCCCAACCATCATTATCCCTCCACATATGCATGTTTTGCTCATCCCTATCAACCCATTTTCCACAGAGAAGTGAAAAATAAAATTTAGGAGACTGGTATCGATTTGTACTGCTGAGGTGTCTGACTGGTTGAGTCAAGGTCATTTGAATTTGGTGTTTATTGTGTACTCTTGCCCCCCCCGGCCGAAAAGCTGATATTATCAATCGTGTAATATTATTTTTTTGATTTTTAGTTTTACGAGTTGATCACGGATTGATATCAGTTAGAGAACCATTGAAAACCAGCAAGGAGTACTGGACAGCTGTTTCATCCTAGTTTCGGGAATCATCGGCAGTACGCACCCACTGGGGTTCGAACCCAAAACCTCGCCTTGTAACCGGAAGTTCCTCGGTTCGGACCCCAGTGGGTGCGTACTGCCGATGATTCCCAAACTAGGATGAAACAGCAGCTGTCCAGTACTCCTTGCTGGTTTTCTATGGTTCTCTAACTGATATCAGTCCGTGATCAACTCGTAAAAACAAAACTAACCCTTACAAACCAAACTATAGAAAATTTTTGGTTTTGTTGTTGTCGGGAAAATTAGATGCTGAGAATTCCAAACTGTTTTGGAATAAACCTAATTATTATTAATAATTTATTACTATTGTTTGAAATAAAATGTTTACTATTATTACTATTGATATCTATTTAAATATTACGGTTATTTCATCATTTCAAACAGCCGCGATTCAAATATTTCAATGTCCAATCAAGAAGATAATTTAAACAATACAATGAATATCCTTAAAGATGATGACGATGGTAATGACAATGTTGATGACGGTGATGATGGTGATGAAGTATCACCTCCTGATGGTTCTGATGAAAATTCAGCTGAGGAATTACAAACCAATAATAGTAACAGTAATAATAATAATAATGATAACCAAGAGGAGAAAAATCAAGACCAACCAAAACCTACAAATGACGATAAAGATAAAGATAAGATTCCTGAAAGAAGATCAACAAAGAAATCAATGAATGAGGAGAGGTCATCAACACATCAAAAGAATACATCAGAGAGTAATCAAGATACTAAAGATTCTCCAGAGAATGGAGAGGGTGAGGGTGAGGAGGATGATAGTCAAAATGATGCTATAAAACCAAATGAACAACCAAAGAAAATTATGGATCCTGAATTTTATTATGAAATTCATGAATATTTAGCAGGTCCAATGATTTCAGAAGATTCTGGGATACCAGAGAATCTATTGACTATCTATCATCAATTCGGTATGGATGCATCACGTAGAGAGAATCTACAGTTGCTTGAGAATAGCGTACTTTGTCATATCTTTGGTAATTACTTACAAATTATGAATACAGAGACACGGGAAAAACTACTCATACGTTCAATAAGTGGTGTTGGAATTGGGGCATTTTCAGTTCATCCAAAGCACAATTATATAGCGATAGCTGAAAAGGGTACACTACCATTTGTGTGTATTTATCAATATCCCGAAATCAGATTATATCGAATATTAAAGGAGGGTACACAAACTGCATATTCTGCATGTCAATTCAGGTAGGTGGTGGTGGTGGTGTTTATTTTAAGTCTTTTGTTATGATGGAATATGCGCATTTGATCATAACTTAATGGCTTTCTGTCAGAAATCAGCCAGTGGTCCAAGGAAAACGGTTTTACCTTAAACCCCTCCAAATGCCAAACAGTCAATTTCACCTTTACGCATAAATCTGACCTAAATAAACTGGTTGGCTCTCACGAGGTGTGCAACATTGATGGCACTGAAATAGAAAACAAATCGGAAATTAAATACCCAGGCGTCATTCTATCTGTTGATCTTTCCTGGTCGTCTCATATCTTGACGATTTTTAAGAAAATATTCCGTCTTACCTTCTTCATCAAGAAGTTAAGACATTCTGGAATAACCCAACCCTTACTCCTACAATTCGTTAACTCTCGCATCCTGCCTATTATTCTCTATTGTTCCCCCTTAGTTTTTCCAGGGCTACTGAAGAAGGACTATATCTTATTACGTAGGGTGTTAAAGGTTGTCAGCAGGGTAAGCAACGTGCCACTTAACCAGCTTGTTAATATTCTGGTTGACAGGCACATGGACTCATGTGAAAAATGGGCCAAATCCATTTTATCCAATTCACACCACCCTCTTCATTCACAACTGTTCCCCTGTATCTCATCAGGCAGAACCAGAAGCCTATAGAAAAAACTATATGCTCGCACTAGCAAGTACAAAAACTCAACCATATCCTACTTAGCTCGTGTTCTGTGCGATAAGCATTAGGCATGACACCTATAATTCATTAAATAGTCAGTAGAACACCTGGACCTCGTCTTTCCAACTCATATCATTTATAGGGACAACATTTCCTTTCTTTCTTTTCCTTTTCTCTCTCTTTTTTCCGTTATGTGCTGCTTTGTTTCTGTCTTCCGCTTACGCCAGTAAATATGACAGCACCTACTTTTCTAACACCTTCAAACACTGTTCAGCTTTACCTTTGCTACCGACATGCCAATATGTTGTTGTCATAATGGACTGAGATTTCCTTTATCTATGTAGAATTCTATTTATTGATAACGTACTAACTGGATGCAATACTGTAATAAAAATGCTGAGAATTCCATTCTGTATCACAAGTACTGTTTTGGAATAAAGCAAATTGGAAGCATTTATTTCCCGATACGAATTTAAAACAACCAATAAAGGTTAATAAAGCAGGATTTAATGAATTCATCAAATTTCGGTAGAACCCGTCAGCTGAATACTCTACATACACGGATATATACTTTTGAAGTTACATTGGTAGATATATAATTCTACCTCTTATTATTATTTTATTATTACTATTATTATTCTCATCATTATTATTCTTGATTCATTTAAAACTATCCTTTATCAGTAGCATTATCTTAACTCACTTCAACACTATTATCATTGTTATTATAACTAATACTATTGACATCCCTCTGGTTGCAATTCTTGTTAAATTCTCTAATGTCTAATTGTTTATCTAAGTGATGTAATTGAAGCGTAATGCAATTTATCTTAATTTTGATCTCCCATACTCTCTCTCCCCTTATCTAATTGAACATGACCTGGAAAAACATTCGCACCTGTCTTTCTGCATGACTAATTCAATGTAGTTTATTAACTTATCAGTCCTATATCTCCCAATGTAATGTATATATCCGTGTATGTAGAGTATTCAGCTGACGAGTTCTACCGAAATTTGATGAATTCATTAAATCCTGCTTTATTAACCTTTATTGCTTGTTATAAAGCAAATTATTATTATAGGAAATAATAATAATAAAAACACAGTTGCAGCGAAGAATAGTTTCTTTTCGACGAAGTCATCAACCAGGCTTGCAGCGAAGTATGTTTTCCTCAGTGATTTGCAGAGGCGTTCAAGAAAGATTTCTGCTTGACAATGTCATCTTTGAATTCTAAATTAAACAGAAGTATCTTCTTTGGGACGGATTGAACTTGTTCAGAAGTCTTCTTAGATTTGAAATTCTTGTCTATGAACCTAGGCGGAAAACCATTTTCTATCAGGGTTCCTTGGAGATTACTCAGTTCTTCATCAATCACTTCCTCGTTGCTTATCTTCCGAATTCTCCGAGGGAAGAGTGTATATAAGGTTCCTCTTTCTGTAGGCTTTTTGCATATGAACCTTTTCAGACAGTTGTTGGCGTTTCTTGTCAGATGGACATCGAGGAAGTGGAATATTCCGTTGGATTCAGCTTCAAGAGTAAAGTCAATGTTTTGGTGGGCATTGTTGAAGGTTTGAAGTAAGTTTTCAAGGTTCAGGTTCTCATGACAAATGATGAAATATCATCAATGTATCTCTTGTAGAGATGAAGGTCGTCGATAGTTGATGGTAAGGGATTGTTTTCGAGGCTGGCCATAAAACAGTCGGCCAAGAGGGGTTCCAGTGGAGAGCCCATTGCTACGCCATCTGTTTGCCTGTAGATTTCATCGTTGAATCTGAAATAAACGTTGAAGGTACATCGTAGTAATAGCTCCTTTAGATAATGGATCGGTATGCCGACATCTATACTGTTGCTTTAGATGAAGTCACACAGAAAACATATAGTTTCTGTCAGTGGAACATTGGTGAAGAGAGAGACGACATCTAGGGAGACCATTTTTTATTTGCGAGGTTGACATTTTTAACTTAATCGACGAAATCGAATGTATCGCAGAGGTTGTATCTTGACAGCTTTTCTTTCACTGGTTCAGGAATTTCTACCAGCCACTTGGCGACTAGGTGATCTGGCGAATTAATCATATCTGATATTGGGCGGAGTGGGACGTCGTTTTTGTGGACTTTGGGTTGTCCTTACGTTCGTGGCGATGTAGAACCAGATGGGCGAAGTTGTTCATATAATTCTGTATTAATAATTGATTCATCTTTCATCTTTTTCAATAGTTTGGTTAACTGGAGCTCTGTCTGTTCAGTTGGATCCTTTTGAACCGTCTGTTTTTGAAATTTTTAGTCATCAGATAGAATTAACGAGAGTTTCTTCACATAGTCTGACTTGTTGAACAGAACAATTCCAGAAGAATAGGCATATACATATATCTAAAAGGAATAAACGCAGTAATGATACTGAAATGGGAAATGATACCAAAAAGATTAAATATTGATCGTTTATTCCACTCTAAGCTTAATCTTTCGCTAACTTTCATCAACAGCTGTCTACACTGCATACTTATGATCAGATGGGCCGAAAGAATATGCAATAAGAAACTCTGAGAAAGAATCAATCAAGAATCTGTCACCAAACGAATGTACTGAAGGAAATGAAGGCGGATTAGACACAAGGCTGAGAAGACTGTTGAATGGTATCACGTCCCAAGTTTATGAAAGGAAACTACGAGTTGGTCGTTGACCTGAGGGTGTCATGGAGGAGAGCAGAGTTTAAATACAATCATAGACCCAGCAAGGAGGAATGCAGATAACAGGATGAAACAGAGATGTGCTTCTAAAGCCCTGTGTTCCACTCGGAACCCTAACCTATCCCTAGTGTAATCCTAACTGTAATATTTCCCCACACTAACCTAAAACTAAATCAGTATTCTGTTTAATATATCCTTAAACTTCATTCACTACTTTTCTCCCCTCATAATCATGGTGTTATTTACGTGGTTTCAGGAACTTACCATGCTTGTGTGTTCGCCTCCCATTGGATCGCTGTTCTCACTAACTTCGCCCTGTTTCATTTCAACTAGAATAAGCAACAAATGGTAGTCTCCAGTAATTTCATTGAATTGAAAACATAGTGATATCAGTTGAGATGGTTGGAAGTGAAATCAGAGACTACCAGGTAATCTGTTATGGTTCTCTAAATAGCGCCAGTTCGTACTGAAATCTACATTGGAATTAGTCAGAAATCCCAGCAGAATTCAAAATTTAAACATCACTGTCCACTTCATTGGCAGCTATTGGACGGATATCCTGGAGTTGTGCAGAGGAGTCGTGGCCAGTGGAGTCTACTACGTCAAGAGAAAGTGGATGCTTAACGATGGCAATGATTAGCAGTAACGCTATGCAATAAAGTGACCGAAATTAGAATTTAAGGGTCAGTGAATTTCCACCCAACTGTCTGAATGGTTAATGAGATGGCCTTATAATTCTCAAGTTTCTGGTTAACATTCCTGGTTGAGTCGTAAGTGCATAGTGCTGAAGAGTCCCAAACAAGGACGAAACTACTATTCAGTGCTTGCTAATTTTCACTGATTCTTTATTGATTTGTGAGGAAATCTTCAAAATCCTTGATCTAAAAGTTGATTCTTTTTCACACAAATTCATAGTCAACAGATTAGATGCAAAGTAAAAATGGCATTTATGTAAACTACACTTAACCGAATACACTATTATATTATCGTTTCCTTGAGTCCCAAGTACAATTCTATTTTCTTCTGTCCTCTTCACCTGGTTCCACGATTCCCATAATCTCTCATCTCTTCTTCGCCACAATACCTCCTCCTTATCACCCTCGCACCGAAGACCCACTCGTCGTTTCCCATTTGAATTCCACTCGAGCGATGACCTGCATTGCGCACGATGTCATTCGACGTCCCCCTCAATGTGTGCCCCTCAATCTCCATTTTCTCCTACATATTTGTTGAGCAATCGGTTCTTAGCTGGTTTGTTGCCAGCCAGAGTTTCTTGTTGTTAATTCTTTCTGGCGGGCTTGCCGGCCGGCTGGTCATTTGCTCTTCAATATGGAGCTGTTATTAAAGGTCTGCAACTTGTTGGAAATGCTCTCCGTGATGCACGCACAGTGCAAGTTTCTTTCTCGTGTGGAAGAATTGATTGACTGACTTGACATTCGTTTTGAACAGAATCTGAAATAATCTTGTTGTTTATGCTGGGTGGCTGGCTGAGTGAATGAATGCAGAAGATTTCCGAACTGCTTTCCCATTGATGAAGGTGCGTACCTTAACTTTCTGACTTTGACATCTTCATCCGTGCCGTCTGCCTGTGGTTGAAACATTTTTTTTCCTTCACGTTTCCAGTGGAACATAGGGCTTCAAGCTAGTGGCTTGAAGTATTTGTAGCAGTGGTGTTCATTTTTACAGGATGGGGTTGCTAGCCTCATGCCCAACCTTTCCTCTTTACCAGCATTATTTCTGGCTTAGCTACGTAAAGGAGTGCGTCGGTGGCCGGGGATCGAACCCCGGACCATGTGTATGGTCGGCGAGCGTCCTAACAGCTATGTCACCGACGCACTGGTTGAAACATTGCTTCTTAGATATAAGTATAAAACTTGGGCACTGTGTTAGAGAAAGACAAAACAAGTCACGAGAAGCATTTCCAACAGTCTGCTGCAGAATTTCATCATCAGTTTCATCAGAAGCAGTCCTCGTTCGTCATTGAAGATCAGATCGTTAGCCTAGAAGAAAGGACAAGTGACTAGGGACTATGGCAAGTAACGAACTAACCAAGAAACTGTTATTCAACAAATATTCAAAAAGAAATGGGGGTTGATTAGACACACACTGAGGATACTCCTGAATGATATCATACACCAGGCAGCCTGTCGAATGGAACCCGAATAGGAAGCCAGCGACAGGTCGGACGTGAGTCGGAGAGTGACATGAACCAGATCATGTCAGGAGGGAATGAAAGTTTGTGTTGTCAATCGTGCGGTCGTCTGATAAAGACACCAGAGAACACAATAAAATGGTGATGTGCTGCTGAAACCCTGTGTTCCACTCGGTTGTGACAAAATCTGTTTGGAAGAGAATTCTGCCTACACTGTTCTTTTGAATAGCGATTATCACAGCTCACACATCGTTTTGAGCGTTAACCATAGTCTGTCAACTACATATCCGTCCCAGTGATTTAACATAAGATTGATGCGTTGTAAATTTTCATTATTCTTCCGAGTGTAACATACAGCTCTACAAGCAAATTACAGCTTCATTCTGTTCTATGAAGTCTCTTTTATCTGGCCCCACCATCGCCTGTAAGCTTTCAGCTCCTCTATTTTGTGAACCCATAGCCAACTTATCATTTCCTATCCTGGTTTCACTCGTGGTTGGTTCGTTGCTAATCCTTTCTGGCTGGTCACCTGATCTTCATTATCATGACAACGAAGTCAACTGTTGATAAAGTTCTGCAGTAGCCTGTTGAAAATACTTTGCCAAGTCTTTAATTCCTTAGAAGCACTGATTTAGTATTCGTGTTTAAAAGAATTTGGAACTTATAAGGATAAACCTTGGGCACTGTGGTGGTAGAGTATAGCTCCATTGTTGACAAAATTTTATTTTGATAAAATCACAGTGTTATACAGTACTGTCTGTCTATCTGTTTTCAACATAGAACTTCGCACCGATGCGCTACAGTTCAAGTTGCCACACTCCATGTAGCACACAAAGCAATAGAAGAAAGTAGAAGAAATGCATAACAGAGACATTAGATAGGGATATGAGACAAAAGCAATAGTAATAACGAAGAAGCATATATTTTTATTGGATATTATAGGTCACAAGGAGTGGGTGCATCTGCACCAGCCACTGACAACGTGGATTTTGAGCCATATCACCAATTGTCTCCAGCTATCATTGGTTTTTACCGTCCCTAGGACCCCAACCAGTCAAGAAGTCAACACCTTACTACGTGGTTGGCTTAAACTAACTGTTGTGGATTTCATTGACTGGTGCCACGTTTTGGTTTGACTGCCGCTAGCTCTTTACCAGCCTGAACCTATGTCAGCTAACATTGCCCGTTGTCGAGGAACGCGATGGCTAGTTTAGGTATACGTAAAACATGTCCTAACCATCTCAGTCAATGTAGCTTCACAGCCTCGTCGATTGATTTCCCCTCCCACCTACCTAACACTCGATCGAAGCTTAACCTCAATACTGCTCACCCTATTATACCATTTAACACGGGACTAGAGTACAGTAATATTTACTGATGACCAGGTTTCGAGCATAATTTATTACTGCTCATAATCATATCAAGGTACTTACACAACTTTTCTGCTTCATTTACATAAATAAGTCCACATAAACAAAAAAAACATATAAAGGACACAAGAAAGTTGTGTGAGTACCTTGATATGATTATGAGTGGCAATAATTTGTGCTTGAAACGTTATCATAACCAAAATTACTGTATAACACTGTGTGTCTGTGCAACTGCAGCACTGAGTGACGCGGGTTCGAATCTCAGAAAAGACATGAGTTCCTTAAAGATTGCAGATACCCCTTGTTGACTGGTGAGTGTCAACTAGCACGAAATCCAGGTCAAGCAAGGCATCCTGTGGTCGATTGCCCCCAAACATCTAATGCTGTGTGATATTATCATAATAAAATTTTTTCCATAATGAATTTGGATCTTGGTTTTATGCTGAGTGTTACAGATTTTCCTTTCAGGTCCTGGATGATTTTGATATCTTCATCTGCACTATCCGCTTATAGTTGAGATGATGCGTAGTATGCGATATCAGATATCGGAACATATTCCGCATAGTATACTTTTTTCCATATCTTAATGTATTCAGTTAAATTGTTGGTATTAGGTGGTCGGAGGTAATCGGCAGGAGGCCCAGTCTGACCTAGGTTTCATGCTAGTTGGCACTCATCAGCAAGGCGTATCTGCTACCTTGAAGGAACTCATGCCCTTTCTGAGATTCGAACCCGCGTCACCACTAGGTGCTGCAGTCAGAGACGCTACCAATAAGCCATTTGGGCTCGCGATTGACCTCCTGTAGGACTCTATTGGATATTTTTGATTGGACACTAGTCAGTAACTAGTGTAATGTGTCTAATCCTATTGTAACGACAGAAGGCAAGAGTCAGGCAACAGATCATTTATTAAGGAAATCAACGCATATTTATATATGTTTTCATGTACATTACTATGGATACGTAAACAAACAAACACAGTCTTCCGATTGGTTGTTTCTCACGTAAAGTTAACTTTTCGTCTATTTGTGACTGTTTCTTGAATGTCAAATCCTCTATATGTTAACTGCATCCGCCTACGCAAAGTCTGCTGTGGTCGGTTTTGAATCAATCTTTGTTCATTGATATAAGAATAAAACTTGGGCACTGGGGTAGAGTGTAATTGCTCATAATCATATCAAGTTGAACTTGATATGATTATGAGCAATAAATTGTGCTCGAAACGTTATCAGTAAATATTACTGTATAACACTGTGAGACTCTATCAAAATAAAATTTACCCATAATGGAATCTTTGTTCACATTTTCTCACGACAAATCTTGGGAACGTAAATATTGACTTAAATTACTGTCTACCAATTTGGCTAGTAGACAGCTCTCACCACACTATCAGTTAAAATATAAATTTTCATTATTATTATTTCGTTTAATTCCTAGAGGAACATAGGGCTTCAGCCACGCGTCTCCATTGCGTTCGGTTCTCTGCTAGAGTCTTCACCTGGTTCCAAGTCTGCCCACATGCTTTCATCTCCTCTTGACATGACCTCCTTCAAGTCGCCCTCACACTGACGACCAACTCGCCGCTTCCCATTCGGGTTCCACTCGAGCAATGGCTTGTCTAGTGATGTCACTTGATGGTTTCCTCAGAGTATGGCCAGCCAATCCATCTCCATTTCTTCCTGCATATTTGTTTCACAATCGGTTCGTGGTTGGTTCGCTCGCAGAGATCCCTATTGCTGATCTTTTGTTGAACTTGATTATTATTTTTTCTTTTTTAACAGTCCAGATGGTGAAATGATCGCTACAGTCGGTTGTGATCCAGACTATATGCTGACTTTATGGGAATGGCGAAATGAACAGATTGTGTTGAGAGCTAAAGCTTTTTCACAAGATATTTACCGGGTAGCTTGGTCAACAGATTTATCTGGTGTTTTAACAACAGCCGGTGTTGGACATATAAGATTTTGGAAAATGGCGCATACCTTTACAGGATTAAAACTTCAAGGAAAGCTAGGCAAATTTGGTAAAGTTGAATTAACAGATATTGAAGGATTTGTCACGCTACCAGACGGGAAAGTTCTAACTGGTTCTGCATGGGGTAATCTACTTGTTTGGGATGGTGAATTAATTAAAGTGCAAATTTCACGTAAAGGCAAACGACCTTGTCATAATGGATATATTATGCAAATTGTTATGGATGAAGGCGAATTGATGACAATTGGTCAAGATGGATGGATCAGGGTGAGTTTTATTATCTCATGATTTGTAAACTGAAGCTTCTTCCCTAACTTTGAAGTTTCTGTAGCAATCGGACTGGTTTCCCAGGTCGCTAGCCCCACACCCAAGCTTTCCTCCCTTCCCGGGTTTAGGACAGAAACATAAAGATTGTTATTAGTCTCTTGGGTTCCGAATGGAATTTACGCCTTCTGTGACACATCTCCGATTTCTTCTATTCTTCGCTCTTTTCTTCAGCAACGTCCACGATTCCCATAATCTCTCATCTCTTCCTCCTGCTCCTCACACCATCTCCTCTACGTCACCCTCGCACCAACGACCCACTCGTCATTTCCTATTGGAATTCCACTCGAAATATGCCTTGCATTGCACGCCATGTCATTCAACGACTTCCCCAACGTTTAACCAAGCACAAAGAAGAGAATCGGTTGAAGTTACTTGAAATGAGGTTAGCCACCTAGGACAACTGGTAACACATAGAATTAAATCGCTAACTACTACAAATGCCCACATATTATTATTATTCCCTTGGGTTCCAAGTAAAACACAGGGCTTCAACAACACATCTCTACTTTCTTCTATTTTCTGCTGTCCTCTTCGTCTGGGTCCACGACTCACCATAATCTCTCATCTCCTCCTTCTCGACACACCGTCTTCTCCATGTCACGACCCACTCGTCGCTCCTCACTCCCTTTCCACTCGAGCAATGGCCTGCACTACTCACGATGTCATTCGTCGATCTCCTCAACATATGCCCCTCCTATCTATCTCCATTTTCTCCTACATATTTGTTGAGCGATCGGCTCTCTGTTGGTTGGCTCGTCATTAGCCAGAGTTTCTTGTCGCTAATTCTTTCTGGCTGAGTGCCCAGCTGGCCATTTGATCTTCAGTATGCAGCCAGCCAGTGAAGGTGGCACTTGTTGGTTTCGCTTATCGTGACGCACACTCAGTGCACGTTTCTGACGCGTATAGAAGAAATGACTGACTGACTTGACATTTGTGGTGAACAGAATCCGAACTAATCTTGTTGTTTATGCTGGCTGAATGCAGATTTTCAAACTGGTTTCCCATTGATGAAGGTGTAGCTTGCTTTTCCGATTCTGACTGGCTGGCTTTGACATCTTCATGCGTCCCGTCTGCCCGTGGTTGAATCCGTGCTTCCTGGCCAGTTAAGTGAAGGAAGTGATCTCTGTCCAAATCTCTCACATTGATGGTGATTAGTGCTGGTTGTTGTTGTTGCTGTTGGTTGGTTGTCTTCATAACTTCTATCTTCTCTATATTTTACCTGGAATCCTGTGTTCCCTTCCCGCTTCTTCAGCCAGTTTGCTGGTTTTCACCTTTGAGTTTTTGCGTTTGAATAGCATTAAACATAAGCCCTCCACTCATGAAATCCAGAACTTCTAGAGTTTTCTTGTCGGTCAGCCCAACTTATTCCTGTCTTCTTGCTTCTCATAGTGTGACGTATTATCCAGTCCACCACAATTAAGAATATTATCGTGGGCATACTGAAGATCAAAAGGCCGGCCGGCCGGTAAGCCCAGCAGAAAGAATCAGCGACAAGAAACTCTGGCTGTGAACAAACTAACCAAGGGCCGATGACTCAACAAATATGTAGGAGAAAATGGAGATGAATAGAAGGGGCATACGTTGGGGAAGTCGTCAAACGACATCGTGCATGATGCAGGTCATCACTCGAGTAGACAGTGATTGGAAACTGACGAGTGGTTCGTTAGTGCAAGGGTCATATGGAAGAGATAGTGTGTTGAGGGGGGAGAGGATGAAGAGGAGATGAGAGATTATGGTGAGTCATGGACCCAGGTGAAGAGGACAGCAGAAAATAGAGAAAAGTGGAGATGTGTTGCTGAAGCCCTGTGTTATACTTGGAACCCAAGGGAATAATAATAATGTGTGGGCAGTTGCAGTGGTTAGCGATTTAATTCTATGTGTTACCAGTTCTCCAAAGTGGCTAACCTCATTTCAAGTAACTTCAACCGATTCTCTTCTTTATTGTGAGTCAAACTGGGTACGCCGATGATGAGTTCTGCCTAAAAAAGAGCGAAACAACCATCTGGTGTTTAGATCATTTAGATATGGTTGGCTAGTAAGTGCTACTGGTTGATGTGAGCAGTATTCAACTACTCATCTCAATCAATTAGTAGTATGTAATTTCATGCTATTATGCTTACTTTCTTGATTACTACTTAAGATTACAAATAGATCGTATACTGTGATCCAAAAAATTTCGTCTTTTGTAGGCGAAATTCCATCTCGAACTGCGTAAAATTGCAAATTATGAATCTGATTTGATTTATCGTAGCCAAGTAGGCAGAAATCTGGTGGTTCCTCTGATTCAGCTCTCTAAGCCGAGTTCAATCGTGTACACCATCGATTAGCCTGACTTCAAATGAGCGAAGTGGCTGTCTGGAATCTTCTTTATTCCTTCACGTTCCCAGTGGAACATAGGGCACCTTCAAGCTAGTGGCTTGAAGTTTCTGTAGCAGTGTTTATTTTTACAGGATGGGGTTGCTAGCCTCATGCCCAGCCTTTCCTCTTCACCAGCTTTATTACTAGCTTGGTGAGGTTTAGGAGTGCATCCGTGGCCGGGGATAGAACCTCGGACCATGTGCATGGTCGGTGAGCGTCCCAGCTGCTGTGCCATCGACGCACAACTAGGAAGTGCAACTCATTTAATTCAGTGGCTTCCAACTACTCATATCAATCAATCAGTAGTATATATTTTGCACTGTAATTTTTCTAATTTCCAGTCACCATTTCAGACTAACGTCTAGTTTTAAATGAATCCTATTGCAACAAACCAACGATTTGTAACTTGAACAGTCTGAGATAAAATTTCACTACGATTACCTTCGAAAGCAGAAGTTATTCAAATCACAATATGTGATACATCTGCTTGATACCTTGAATGTTAATCGAGGAAGCAAGTGTAAATGCATGATACGCTCAGAGGGTGCGTACTGTGAAGAGTCCCAAACTAAGACGAAACAGCTGTCCAGCACTCTCCATTGTTTTCCCAGTGATTCTCTAGCTGATGTCAACTCGTGATCGAACCAGTAGTAGTATATGACGTCAAAGGATACTACAGAAAAAGAAACTGATTCAGTAAGATCATTGAAAATGTTATCAAGGAGTTAATTATCCAGACGTTGACTAACTCTCAGTTATAATTATTATTATTTACATTAATTTTCTGATTTAAAAAAAATAGACATGGGATTTTGAAACTGTCGATACAGCAGAATGTTCAGAAGAAGGTGCTCTATATGAACTGGAACCAATGAATGAATTACGTGTTGGTACAAAGGCACGTTTAACGTATATCGTTAAAATTCCTATACCTGATTCAACAATGTGGTATGCACAAGTAAGTTATCTTTTTTACAATGAATTTTAAAAAAATATTTTCTACTCGTTTTGCGTTTCAAGTGAGACATAGGGATTCATGCTGTTTAAGCTTTACAGTTCTAGTGACACTGATGTTGTAACACTTTTAAGGGAGCGGGGGTTACCAAACTTTTAGCTTCAACCTTCTCTACTTTTCGGGATTGCTACCGGCTAGGAGTACGTAGGCCAAAAATCATCCGTCAAACAACACGAGTGTTTGACAAGCATTTCACCAGTAAAGTACCGACACGTCATTTTAAGACGTATCTGTATTGATCAATAATAACTATTATTATTGTTCCCTTGGGTTCCTAGTGGAACATAGGGCTTCAACACCACGTCTCCACTTGTTTCTGTCTTCTGCTGTAATTTTCACCTGCATCCATGTTATTCCATACTGTTTCAACTCCTCCTCACACGATCTCCTCCATGTCACCCTTGCACTGACGAACCACTCGCCGCTTCCCTTTCGGGTTCCACTCGAGCGTTGGCCTGACGTGTGATGTCACTCAACGGCCTCCTCAGCGAGTGTCCGATCCATCTCCACTTTCTCCTGCATATTTGTTGGGTGATTGGTTTTTGTTTTGTTTGTTCTCATAGTTTCTTGTTGGTTCTTGTTCTTTCCGGCCATCTGATCTTGATTATAGAACGAAGACAGTTGTTGATGAAGGTTTGCAACAGGCTGTTGGAAATATTCCTTGTGACCCGCCGTCAAGTTTCTAATCCGCATAGAAGAACTGACTTGACGTTTGTATTGAAAATCCGAATCATTTTGTTGTTGATGCTGAGTGACGAAGATTTCATTTGCAGATTGGTTTCAGGTTGATGAATGTGTTTCCCGCCTTCCCGATTCTCGATTTGACATCCTCGTCAGTTCCTCCTGTAGTTGAGACAATGCTCCCTAGATAAGTGAATGAAGTAATAATTACGTAATTTTATTTCTTAACGCAGATATACTTTTGTCATTATCAAACAAGTAATATTTTGAGCTGACATCGGTTAGAGAACCATTGGAAAACCGACAGGGAGTACTGGATAGCTAGCTGTTTCATCCTGGTTTGGAACTCTTCACCAGTACGCACCTGCCGGGGTTCAAACCCAGGGCCTGGTGTCAGCTCATTATGAAATTCTGTAACCAATCGATCAAATCCCTACAAACCAATACTTGAATATCAATGAGATGTTCACTAGCAACTGGTCCTATTCAGGTAGGTAGTTACATGAGGTTCTGGTGGGAAGATGTGAACAGTAAGGCACAGCAGATCGAGTGTGAGAACAAATACCACTAGCGATGACATTCTCTAGTGCCAGTAGCGCTATATCGTAAATTGGTAGAAGTGGGAATTCATGGACTGGCCACTGAGTTGGGTCCCACTGGCCTAATGGTCCACAAGCTTGATTGCTTGTAACAAGAAGGTCCTGGGTTCGAACCATGGTGGTGAGTGCGTACTGATGATGAAGAGTCCAATATTAGTGGGACGAAACAGCTGGCTGTCCAGTACTTCCTGTTGGCTTCCCAGTAGTTCCCTAACCGACGTCAGTTCACAATGAAATCCTGCAACCAATCAAATCAAATCCCTACAAATCAATACTTAAATAATATTTTATAAGTTCTCTGAGTTTTATGATGACCATATGAAATCCGGCTAAAGTATGCATTGCTTCAAATTAAGAAGCACTGCGTCGGTGGCACAGTGGTTAGGACTCTCGCCGACCATGCACATGGTCCGGGGTTCGATCCCTGCCGGCGCACACCCGATATCCATGGTCAGCCTGAATTTGGGCTACCGATATCCATGCTGAAAATTCCATACTTGTACTGAAAATACGGTGTGGAATCAAGCTGTAAATCAAAATAAAAAATAAAAAAATATTTCTGTCAATAAGTCACATTTCTTTCCTGTAGATCTATTCTATGAAGGCACCAGTCCATTCCATTCCAGTTCACCAGTCACTTTAGAGTTATTATTTTCTAACTTGGATTTTCTGTTAACAAGAAGGAGGATGATCAGGAGGCCTTCGTGTGCTTTTGGAAGTGTGTGTGTATGTGTATGGTTGTTACTTCCCGGCTGCCCACACCATGGAAGTTGATATTTTCCTAGGTTAACTGAAACAGAAAGAGAATTAGTGTTACCTGACCGCGGAGCCCAGGGGACAACTGCTTGAGGCTGGTCACACACAGCCTTTCTGAACTGGCTTCCAGGTTTGGTTCTGTATTAGTAACTTACTGCCAGCAGCTGACCACCGCAGGGTAAGTCGGGATGTACAATTTTTGGGGTCGACCTTTTCTAACCCCCTCTCTCCAGAGTGGAGAGACAGCATAGCTGGCTGGTATGCTGGTCATCTGAGGGAAACACCTTACTGCTGCTAAATCCCTATTCCCCCGCAGTACGAATTTGTCTAGAGACCCCCAGCAGAGTGTTAAAAAACCTTACACAATGCCGGTAACTGCTTTTAGTCTAATCGCTATCCTAACAACTTTTCTGGCATGGTAGGACCTTCAGGAACAATAGTTCCAGCCAGTGTATCTTGTTGGGTCACTGCGATACCCAAGCCCGACCACCACGTCAAGGTAGCAGCTAACGGTCGGGTTTCTGTTAGTAAAAAATTTCTACAACCTACAGGTATCAGAACAGTTACTCGCAAAATGGCAGATGTTGAAATTGATGGGCAGTTGAATCAGTTCTCAGAAGCTAGATGACTTACGAGTTCACCTTGTGATCGGAAGGTCCTGGGTTCAAACTCCTGTAGGTGCATACTGCTCAAGAGTCTCAAAGTGGGACGAAACAGCTATCCAGTACTCCCTTCTGGTTTTCCAATTGTTCTGTAACTGATGACAGCTCTTCACTGAATGTCAAATAATGAAAATATCTAGGCTGGATAGATTAAAAACCGCCAAGATTTCATCCTTAGCGCTAACATCAGCGTGGAATGAGCTATTGGGATTCACGATGAATGATAATTATTGTCTCCCTTGATGATTTTGTTTAATATCACTTTTGAAAAATACCAAAGCGTCACTTTACATTGGATTTAACACTCAGGTTGTTGTCTATAAGGAAACAGTGGAAGATTTGTAATTTAACCCACGAGGTCAGGGGATAGAACATCACCTAACTTACTCTGAGAATACCGTTGAGTGACATCACACACCAGGTCCTAGAGTAGAGTTTGGTATGTCTGTAAGTCTAAAATAAACGAGATCATGTGGGCGGGAAATGAATGCTTTTGTTCCGTTATTGATTCAGCAAAAAGCGATAATAGAAGAAGGTGTATTGACAATGTGCTTCCGACGGGAAATATTAATTATCACCTTGTACTAAGCTTTTCAGATGTTGACCAGAGAGACAATTAAAATCTCGCAATTACACTATCAGTAGAAAAGAATATTACAACAACTGATGCCACAAGTCTTCTTAGTTATTTCAACTTCTTAACAGTCAGCAGCAGTTGGCTCACTCACGCCTCACAGCTGTTTAACATTTCTTTCCTGAATGAATCGAGTTGGGTCGGTCTATGATTACTTTACTTGTACAGTTGAAATAATAAATGAGAGATACCCAAAGGAGTGTGACGTAATACGGTATTTGTGAATCTGTAACTTTCACACTGGACTAGAATAGTACTAGAGGCTGGACTTATTTCTTTTGTAAACAAAGTTCCTTCAGTTCAAAGTGAATTTCTATGGTAATATATGTGTAAAACTTGGTCATTGTGATAGTATGTAGTTCCGTATTGATTTTTGTATTAGATATATCAGACACAGTGTGAAACATTATTATTATTATTTACTGGATGATAAAACAGTTTCGAAAACAGTTCAGTGTTATCCATAATCATATCAATGTTCCAATGTTGCACTGTAGCGTAAAAAAGAAAGAAGATGGGAAAGCAAACACACTAGTGCTTACAGAAAACCCACTTATTCAAACCGATATTTGGACTTCCGATGATCTCACCCACTCTGTGTCAGTAAAAATACGTTTGGTGAAATATTTAAGTAATAGAGCACAAAAACTAAGTAGTACCAAGGAAAATCTAAGACAGGAAGTGAGGCATATAAGAGAAGCTTTGAAACTTAATTAATGATTACCCTGATAAATTAGTCAGAAAGTATGTAGGGAAATGTAAAAATAAAATAAATAATAATATTAATGACGACATGCATGTCAAACATGCACAGGATAATGACAACACCAGCAATAGGGGATTTAAAATATCAGTAGTACTTCTACACTAAGGAGGAACTTTGGAAACCTTACGGAGGAAAATTCTTGACAATGCAGACAGGAATAAAAGTGGCTAGCATTCAAATCACCCACGAACTCAATTAGAAACAAGCTCTGTCGGTTAAAGGATCCGGTCAGTGGAGCCAATTAAACAAAAATATTTAGTTTATCTAATACCCTGCCTGTGATGATTGTCAGGTCAAATACATAGGTGAAAGTAGTAGAACAGGGGCAGTCAGACTAGCTGAACATAAAAACTTTGCAAAATCTAGATCGGTCGATCCAAATAAGATAAGAAACCTAGAGAATAGTTCAGCTATAGCACTCACTACATGCAGTTACACACAACCATACAATAGGATGGGATAGGATGACAGTTTTAAAATCTAATGTCACAGGGTATAGGGAGATATTGATAACAGAAGCTTTGTTTATCGAATCAACTGCAAACACGTGTAACAGGAACGATTCAGCATCTATCCGTCACATCTGGCAGATTCTACTACAACGCTTACGACAAATAGGAAAGAATAAAAAAAACTATAAATAAACAGTACTTGTGGTACAGGTATGGAATTTTCAGCGTGCATTACAATATTGCATCTAATTACCTCATAAATTTTATAAGGATTTAAAAATAAAAAGCAACAACAACAAAAAGAAAAAAAGATAAAAGAAATAAAAAATAACAGCATTGCATTCACATATTTAAACAGTGAACCACAGGATATGAAATATAAAATTAGTGTGTAATAGAATATGTGAGCAACAATATAATAGTAACAAAGAAAGGAGAACAAAAGCTAATGGGAACTATTTGTTCGAGTGCCGCAGTTTCGAAGTCGTGTGATTATAATTGATTGGTATGATTATGAACAATAATAATTCGTGTTCGAAACTGTATCATCCAGTAAACAGTAATACTGTTTCACGCTGTGTGTGATATATCTAATAAACAAACTAATATGGGATTGAATTTCTGTGGCTTGTGATTTTTTGGAGTATTCGGTACCCAGCAGGTTTGAGTTGTTTATTCAGTAGATGGTAGACAACAGCGACGGTTACTTCCACTTGTGAAATTGCTTATCATCACATAAAATTCAAGCATATTTACTATGATTCTTTTATACTCCTTTTGAAAGGATTCTGATGGTGCTATATGGAAACTGGATTTATCCTTCTCGCATACATCACTGGCACCTGAACTATTGGACGAATTTCATGCAAATGATATTGTTGACTGTGTTACATCACCGCTGACATATTGTGCAGCTACAGTTGGTCTTGACGGTGAGTATTCACTAGCATACATATATATGGTTCAATGTATTTATTCATATATTTCTTTAATGTTATCACGTATATTTTTTTCTTAAGAATATTAGATAACAAAGTGGCTTATATGTGAATAAAGCGAGAACAACAGTAGAGGTTTGTGCAGAATAACATGATGGTACCGTCCTTTGTTTATTTCGTTGGCTTCTCATCAACTGCTAACAGCCTGTTTTAACATACTTGCAAATTTTTACATGATGTCAGCTGACAGAAGGTTCCACAACAGTGCTCACAAAATTGCGCTTATATAGTTTTTACACAGTAATAAAGACGACAGACGCGTAAGATACAGAGTGACTAGTAAATTAGGTAACAATGTACTGAGCTCAACTCAAATCATAGAAACAAGAGGCAAACAAAATTACACTCTGTCAAAAGGGTGAGGTTAAAGCCACAGATTACGTAATCAAACGAAGGAGAGAAAGAATAAAGACATCCAACTATCAGGCAGTGCAAGGAAAGACTAATAACTGCTTCTTTCTGAACACACATAAATGTGTTTTCAAGCGTAAGGTAGAAATTGCTTTGGCAAAAATGAGGGGAATCGAGCTCCTTTGTCTATTGATAATGCTAAAGGATTTCATGATTTCCACCTGATGACCCCTTATCGAGGAGATGTTTGATAATACAGCTATCATAAGAGTTTGTTCCCGTGAGACGTAGGCTTTTCGGCACATGGGGTTTAAATGTATTATAGTTCCACATTCCTTACTACATTATGCCTATAGATTATTATCTGAGCATCTCAATAAAAATGAAGCTGGAGTTAGTAAGTAAGTAAAGCTTCTAATGGTCTACAGGTATGTTTTAGCTGTGAAGAACAAACCTTGAAACTTGAAGTATTGGTTTTTATTGAATAGTGTCTTATTGTACAATTTGGAAATACACAGAACACAGCATCACAGTATCAATGTGAAGTCACTACGTCTATGCGGTTCAAACAATTGGCATTTCATTAATATCCTCATCCTCTAGCTTGGTACTAAGGATCAGATGCCAGCAAGAAAGGATATTCTGCATAGAACTCTAACAGTGAAGCGTCGGAGAATCTATTACTCAAAAAAAATATGACGAAGAAAATATAGATGGGTTGGACATACGTCAAGGAGACGGTTGAGTGACACTGGTATCCTATTGGGAAGCTATGAGTTAGACGTCCATGTGAAGAAAAGATGGGAACTTATTGCCATTGGTGAAGCCTGAAAATCTCACAAGATCCCCTCCATGTAACACTCAGAAGTCGATCTTGTTGCTCGCTTCTCATTTGGTCCCATCTGACGGTCTGTTGTGTGATTTCATTAATCAGTCTCTTCAGCGTATGTCCAATCCATTTCAATTTCTTTCTGCATACTTGTTGTATAATAGGTCTTTTCAAGATTTAGTTTGTAAGGATTCTGTTTGTTACGGGTCAGACAACGGATTCATATCAGTTAGAGAACCATTGAAAACCAGCGGGGAGTAATGGACAGCTGTTTCGTCAGTCTAGTTTGGGATTCATTGTCAGCACGCATCCACCACACAAGGAGTTCAAATCCAGAGCCTTTAGGACACAAGACAAGCTCCTATACCATTCAACCACTGGGATCTGAATCCACGCCCCATGAATTTTAACTTCTACCATTTCGTGGTTTTAGTGTGGCCGACAGTACTACCAGTATTCCCTGATTTTCAATGCTTATCTAACTGATATCGATCCATGGTCAAATTTGAAAAAAAATCAAATCTTTACAAATCAACCCTTGAAAATTGACCTGATGTTCTCCAATGACTGGCTATAGAACCAAGTTGCCTGGAGTTCCAATGAGAAGTCGTGACCGGTGAGGTTCATCCCATCGGGAGAGCAGATGGAGTTCCCTCCAATGACATTGATTGGTGGTCGCACTAAAACCATGAATCGGTAGAAATTAAAATTCATGGGCCGAGTGGCTGAATGGTATACCAGTTAGCTTGTTTGTAGCCGGAAGATGTTGGATTCGAATCCCCTGTGGGGTAGGTGCGTGCTATCGATGGATCTCAAACTAGGCTGACGAAACAGCCGTCCATTGGCCCATACTGGTTTTCAATGATTCTCTAACTGATGTCAGTTCATGATGAAATCCAGAAACCACTGCATCACATCGCTGAAAACTAACATTTGAATAATTATTTCATTTGACTTTCAGGCAAGGTATGCATTTATGATATTGTTCAAAAACAAGTAATTGTTGAAAGAAGATTTCCATCAAGTGGTTCAACAATCATATGGAGTCCACCACAAGTAAGTGCTACTGATTTTTAAACATGATTACTTTTAAGAAAGTTATGGAAATGCCGACGTAACTAATAATAAATGGTAAGGCATAGTTTGAAATTTGCAGAAATTGTCGCAGCTTTGAGCCTTTTTTCTTACCAAATTAGTTATTGTTTCATTCTGGTTGATGGTAACTATCACTGGAATCCAGAATGCGCATTTCGCCCTATTTCGGGCACGTCAGCTGGATGCACCTCCATTCCACATTGAGTGATGGTTTTTCCCAACGAGGCTCGAACCCAGTGCCCAAAGTTTCAAACACCAAAATCACCACCAACCACTTGACTCCTAGTTACGTAACCAGACATCGTGGAAGCATCTTCACAAGAAGCCCACATGTCAATCTGAGACCGAGCACTACGGTCCTATCAATCGACGGAAGAATCTAAATTCAATTAAATAATAAACTTAACTTATTTATATTCTTGTCGGACGAACCTATTGTACACACACAAAATAAGTATATATAATTGCAATTGTACAGCTAAGTGAATGAATTCGCCGCCGAAAAGAGAGACTCTCCGCTGAACTACGTGTTTTGTTTTCATTCGAGGTGAATTCTATGTTTTGAAATTGATTACGCTAGATAATTGATGAAGATATATTCATACTACTTAATTAAAATGAGTAACATAAATAAATCTCCGATAATTTAAGCGACGAAGATTTAACAGGTGTTCCAGCATGTTTATTGGATTGTATCATAGTGGCTGAATGATAAAGTACCTTGTCTCATAGTATGACAGAGTCGATCACTAGTGGGACCTTGGATGCATACTGATGAAAAGTCCCGAGCTGGGACGAAACGTGCTTCCTGGAATCCATTGCTAGTTATCACTCACTAGCCACTATATAACATGAGACTCTCTGTAGTAGGATCCGATATGTCTACAGAAACCGAATGGTTTGGTTCAATAAAATTCAATACAAAAATCAATAGAAAGCTAACTTGAGCGAAGAAGATGACATTTTTGGATCCAACTATTCCTCATTTATTTTATCTCTCTCTAAGGTTGATCCAAAAGGTAAAATTTTGGTTGTTGGTCATCAAGATGGTGTATTACGTTTGTTAAAATTTGGTGAAAATCCTGAAGAGCCTAGCAAAAGGACAAAAGATTTTGCTTTACTAGATCTTGGACAAGCTCTGAAACCTCACAAGATGGCTATTACTTCAATGATATACAGCCCATCTGGAAGAATATTCATCACTGGGGTAGGTATTTTTAATATTTTTTGTACTCATATCGTAACGGTAGAATAATAATAATTATTATTATAATAGTAATATCAATAATAATATCATAATCACTTTATTCCAAACAACAGTAGTAATTATGCAGAATGGAATTTTCAGCGTTTTAACATAGATACTGCAAGAATGTAGCTCCTTTTATAACTATGTACACACATAAAATTGAAATCGCTAGCCACTCGTATTCGGCACATATGTGGAGGGAAAAGCTAAATCTTTTGAGGAAAGTCCTAATAGAAAATGGATTTCCATCACGTTTTAGAGACAACAGTATACATTCAAATCCTATAAAACGTGACTTATTATCCACACCCAAGAAAATACCGGACATGAGCTTCGAATTCAAAGGTGACTTAGCTTCCGATATCATGAAAAGAAGGATATCATAGTCCCTGAAAAGAACATTCCCTGCTGCATCTCTGAGAAAAGCCTTTACTAGTCGACCATTACTGTTCAATAACCTGAAGGACAAGATCCCGCTGTTGACCACCTCTATGTGTGTTTATCAATTCACCTGCTCGTGTGGAGCTGGGTATATCGATCGTTCGACTTGAGTTTTGTCCAAAGGGTGAAAGAACACTATCCTGCATGGTAGTTACGAAGAGGTGGAAGTGGAGTATTAAGAAGCGCGATCATTGAACATCTGGTCGAAAATGATCACCCAATAATCTCTACAGCCTTCGTCTTCAAAGTCATCAACAAGGCGAAGAAGTAATTTACCGAAATCACTACGTACCCGATTCATGTGTATTGCTGAAGCTTTGGCCATCGAAACAGAAAAGTCAGGTAAAGTATAATTATATTTCAATAGTTTACACACAATGATAACTGTTTTATTATTGGTAATATTTCGACCGAAATTACTGCCCGTGTTCACACCAACTATTGGAATTGTTTTATTCACACATTTATGATTTGTACTCATATATATATATATATATATATATATATATATATAGTTCATTTTTTTGTTCATTCATTTTTGTGTATTCAGAATTATATTCCAGGTTGTTGACAGTTGTGCTGCCGAGTCACCCTTGTTACATGTATTCGGTGTGACCTTAATGAATATCGATTCTGTTATTAGTAGTCTCTCTTTCCATTTGTTCATATTAGTTCATATTTAGAATACACACATTGTTCCAATCGATGTTGTGGCTTTGTCCCATGCATATGCAGCTATCAATGAATTTTTTTCAAGATTCTTGTAAGCTTGTGTTCCTGTTGGTTGACCTTTAGTTAGGCAGGCGTTTATGTTCAGTCACTTTTTTTTTGAGTGATCTGGACGTTTGCCCCACATATTTAGTTGGACAGTCAGCACAAGATATTTTGTAAATCACATTGTTTTTATCCATCATTTTTATGGGATCTTTCAGTTGATTTATTTTTGGAAAGAAAGACTTACAACAGAATCGATATTCATTAAGGTCACACCGAATACATGTAACAAGAGTGACTCATTACAGCCGTCAACAACCTGGAATATAATTCTGAATACACAAAAATGAATGAACTAAAATAATGAACTATATATATGAGTACAAATCATAAATGTGTGAATAAAACAATTCCAACAGTTGCTGTGTGAACATGGGCAGGAATTTCGCTCGAAATATTACCAATAACAAAACTTATCATTGTGTGTAAACTATTGAAATATAATTATACTTTATTTGATCTAATCCACAATGCTCAAACTTTTTACTGATATTAAGAAAAGTCAGGTTTCTGTATACCGAAAAAGTTCGTTCAACCTCCCGGACCCCCAACTTTCATTGTCTTAATCCCTGTATGCTAAAGTATGGTAATCCCCAATCATATTTTGGCTCTACCAATTTTTAATTATTTCATTTTGTCTATTCAATTTGTATACTCTTCCTTTATTATGTCAATTCTTACTACTTTTATTATTCTCACTTTAAACTATCGCCGGTATTATTTCACTTGTTCCACTTGTCATCCTTAATTAATTCTTCTTTTTTGCAACGTTAAATTCTGTGCTATCAAATACCACACAATATTATGCAACGTTTTTATTTTATTCAATTTGTCTACTAATTCTATAATTGCACACCCTTTTTCAAGTTCTCTCCATCCTATGAATTATTCTTTGCATGACATTAATTTGTTTTGCCACTTGACATTTAACTATGATTATAATCACAAACATTTCCGGTTTTAATTACATTTCATACTATTATTATTATTTCATGTATGATTCAATTCCCTCAACGGATGTAACTTCTTAAAAACCATATATATACGATTGTACAGCTTGATGATAAATTCGTTGTTGAAAAGAGTCTCTTCGCTGAATTAATTGTTTTGATTTTCTATAGTAACAATGAAATCACTATAACCAGGATGTTGGTGGAAACACAATGAATTAAAAATAGACAGATAATATCATGGATAATACATGCGATGATAATCTTTGCTTATACTTTGCAGTTCAATTGCTACTGATATGAAAAGTTCCTTTCTGCCATCTGACTATCTCTCTTCACACAAAGCCCGTGCTAAATATGGTGGTATGGTCGAATTTTCTTATATTCAGTAGCTGTACGAGCATAAATTCTTCTAAAATTTCTTTTAGTTTTACCCCCGAAGAGAGATACAAGTAAAAAAGTGAACATAAGTAGAGAGGATGTTCGGTGTCAGAGAAGATAACATTAGCCAACTGATTGCAAGAAGTCAAGTGTCTAATGTCAGTTAGATGAGTCAAAGGCATACATATGGCTAACACTACTTACAGCCTTCATTGTTCTATGTAATATGATGTAGCCTTTTTTGAGGTGTCCAATGAAGAAAAAGTGGAGCGAACAATAAAGAAGAGGAATAGGCAGAATACATGAATCGACAAACTGTTAGAGAAGAGTTTGAGTTATACAAGCTTAAAGTCTCAACTTCTTTATGTAACAAGTTAAACGAAACATTTTCTTATGAATGAAGAGGATATGAGACGACGACCAACAGAGATTCGAAGAGAAACTGATGTTGCCGAGATGAGAGGTATTCAATTTATTCCCTATCACATTCCCCTCAATATTACACGAATCATGGGAGTAAATCAGTCAGTCCACGCAAGTCTTGTTCACATCTGAAGCTAAAATCAACAAACAGTATGATATTCAGATGGATTCAATTTAAAAACATTTAGGTGAGACTATTTGTTAACTTCAGATAAGAATCTATTCATAAAAGAACAATGAAATGCAGAAACTACTGCGACAGAGATGGTAAGATCATTAGCATAATTAACGAAATCACCTTTAGAAGAATATGGAAGGTCCTGTAAAAAGAAAGAAAAAAGGAATGGAGGGAGTACAGTGCCTTGCAGTACATCAATTTCCGTTAGCAACGAAGTGGAGCGCTTTTCATTTTAAATAGTATGTTGTTTTCCACACGAAAAATAAGAAGACAGCCACCTTGTGACCAAATGTTTGTTGAAACCAGCTTGCTTAGTGAACGTGTCCTAAAAATAGAGTCAAAAGGAGGCTCGAACAAACGTCGCATCTTCATCAAGACATGAATCAATATCGTGGTGAAGTACAACGACAGCATCTAATTTGCTTCTACTGCATTTGTAAGCAAGCTGTTTTGGGTCATTAAAAGACTTCAAAGAAGGTTTAAGACGATAGACAAAAGACCTGGTAAAGGAATGTTTATCTGAAATTTGGTATCCCTGTGTAGCGAAATTATGTACACCTTTTCTTCAGCGCACCATTTCACAGATCTTCCTTGTTGTGCTACTTCCCACCATCTCGCCTTCCTTCACATCCTGTTTCTTTGTGTTCCTTTCACTCACGTCTCCCATGTATCTTCACACCAATGTACCATATGCCTTCTGTGGAATCAAATATTGCTCTCTGCGATTTAGTGTATTTTGCCGATGAACGTCTCTTTATACACTACTGATAAGTCTTATCAGTAGCATACACCACAATATGAAGGGAATAAAACTCTTAATATAATAACGACGTAATATAATGTTCATTGTTTAATATTTTTTTAAAAATATAATTATTTTTCGTATACATTGTCCAAGTGTTTAATCGGAAGTGTTTTGAAAATACCGACAGTTTCTCAGGCTTGGCAAAGGTTTTGGTGTCAGTTTTCCTTGTGAAAACATCCAAACGTCAAAGAGTAACAACATACAAAATACCTGAAGTGTGAATTACAAACTCTTACTTCTCTGTTGCCCATAATTATTATTTGTAAAATAATGCTCCACTACCCCAAATGAACCTTGTGCCATCAATCAGGAGACAAATAAACCTAGTTTTATATGTGTCCGAACCAAGTTCACTTTCAATAGTTTGAAAAAATTTGCCATTAGGTATTTGATATTCATTATAATAAACGTTGCTTTTGTATTTCCCAGTGAATGAATGAAAAAGAGCAAAACGATATTGTCGTTGTTTTTACTGATGTTTCACCATTTAGTGCTGCCGCTAACAGCTTTATCAAAGTAGTGACATTAAACCAGAATTTACAAAATCTCAGCTTGCATTATATAATAACTTAATCATCGTTCATCAGCATGAGGTCATTTTTACGTTGTTGTCAAGTTGGCCATTTGGTAAAGATAACAAAACCAAGTGTAGACTGTTGGATTTGATAAGTGTATAAAATTATAAAATCAAGCGTGTGTTTACATAATGAAATTCCTTATCCCACATTCGTGCTGATTTTGTCACTTCATGGGAGAGGGAGTTGTTGTAACCAGGTCAAATTCTGTTTTAGTCCATCATTCATATTCAAACAATTTGCATTCCATTTGATATGAAGTGCTTCTGATGATGTGAGACGTTCTTTGTGATTTCTGAAATTTTTCTGGATTATTTCACCATTGTCAAAATCAATTTTGTGACCTGATTCTATAGCGTAGAGTGGCTGAGCATTTCCAGTTCAATTGGACTTCTCGGTGGTTGAACAGAGGCTTCTCTATGGTGTTCATT